ATGTCTGCTATTTGTGGCTCAGACTTCAATCTGGAGGAAATCCTACACGAGTTTAACAATTATCACTCAGCTTTGGAATTCAAAATAAAAACGAAAATGAAATTGTCAATTCTTTCCCTTTACGTGTCAGTTATGGAGCATAGCAATGGAACACTAAAAAGACCCATCCACCTTGAACGGAAGGCTTACAAATTTCCATAGTTGGCTGCCGATCATGAATAAAGGAAGCCTCGTTCACTCATTCTGCTATTGAATTAGCAATATTCGTAGCGCAGACTGCATGCAGGTTAGTGTTGACTTTTTAAGAGATACGTTAATAAGAAACCGCTATCTTAGCCTGTTTGTTGATAAAGATACAAGAGAAAGAGATACGAAACCAATTTTCAACTCAGTTTTTTAAGAGAGTTTACTCATGAATCTGGAATTGGAAGCTAGTGCAGCTTCAGACATCCTGAAAGATGGTCTTTAGAGATCATTTGGTAGGACCTTTTATGCAGTCAAGCTTCCGTTAACCTTCACTAGCCGTAGATTAATCTCTGTATGTGTAAAAGGTAATATCATTCGACAGGCCACCATCATGTATATCTGCCAGTTCATCTTCTCCTGTTGAGCAACGTATATCGGCAGTAGCCAGAGATCTCTGTCAACAGATATATGAGAACATACTCCGCCCTGGTTTTACAAGGGTGATCGGAAATGTATCAGAAGTTCCGTACTTGAACATTTAATCGGTTCGAACTATTTAACCGACTGGCTCAAATACTTCACATTTTCTCGGTCTTCATCGTATAAAAACAGCAGAGTCCTTTGTTATCCACGAATTGAAGTCTGACCCCTTGTGTGAAGATGTACAGTGTTTGTCTCTACCTTCCCCTAATGTAATTTGGTCTTGGCTTATTTCCTTTTTTCAACTTCAACTTTTGTTGGATTATTCCTTGCATTCTTATGTTGTCATTACGATTACTTTTCGTTTTTACATTTAATAGTTACCGGTGTTACTTTATTGGATCTTTCCAGAAATTGCACATTTCAACGAAACAATTTCAATTTATCCCGATTAGTCTTTTGATTGTTTATTAATTCTATCACGTTTTCGCCCCCTTGTAATCTATATGCAGCTTACAAACGGTTTCAAGAGTCTTACGCAACCCCTTTCTGTCATCATTATTATGACCATTATTTATTATGAGTGTTGTTATTATTAATTATCACAGTTACGACGACCATTATTGTTGGTTGAGCATCCCACTGTTTAAGTTAAGCTTTCATCACGGATCGCAGTTTTTAGATTATGTATATCTAACTTGCCAGTGTGTCGTAGAAGTGTCTTTTGTCTTTCCGTGCACTCTTCTTCACTTCTTTTTCCAGTGTAGTGTTTCATAGGTTGTGTTCAGTTCCTCTTTTCGTTGTTCATCCCTGCACTGCACTGCACTGCACTGCACTGCACTGCACTGCACTGGTTCATCTTCTGCTTCACCATCTTCCTCTCCTTGCTCTATCAGCTTCCTTGTATCCGTGGAGATCCATTTGTTGTCTTGATTCTTCTTCCTTCCCAATACGGTTATGCAGGTTTCTTTCCACATCTCTTTCAAACAGTTCCAGTGTTCTCCCATGCAGGTTTCTTCAGGGATGTTGCTTAATGTCTCCCATTTTTTCCTGATGACTGACGTGAAGAACTCCTTTGTAGCTTCGTCCTTCAGTTCACTTTCTGTTCTGGGTGTTCAACTTGAACTGTCGTCTATCATCACCAGCTCCTTTGAAGGCCTTCAGCTTGATTTTGAAGGTTCCTTGCACTACATAGTGAGTGGTCTGAACCTACATCTGCTCCCCTTCTTGATCGGATCTTGTGTCCAGTAGGCTGACTGCATCTCCACTTTCTTCACACTAAGATGAAGTCGATCTGATTTTTAGTGTGTCCATCTGGTGAAATCCATGTCGCTCGCTTTGTGAGTATCCTTGTGCTTGTACACACTGCCTCCAATCATCAAATGCACAGAAGTCTCCAAACACTTCTCCATTCTCGTTCATCATTTCACCGAGCACTACTCGACCCATGATAAGTTCTCTTCCTGTGTTGTCTGCTCCCAGTTTCGCATTCATGTCATCCCACCCATTAGAATGGATTTCGATGTCACCCCCTGGGGTCTGATTCCGTACTGATTGCAGTTGTCTACAAAATTCCTCCCCCTTCTCTTGATCTGCATTATTTGTAGGTACATACCGTAGCATTGTATGATTGTCACTTTCCTTTCTTTTGAGTTGAATCTTGCTGTCATCATCCTGGAGGAAATTGGTTCCCACTACATGACAAACTTCGATGCTCTTGGGTTCATTTTATTTTTTATATTTGCTTTGTGCTTTGAAGTTTCTTTAGCGATTCGATTGATTTTACGGCGTAGGATTGCTAGTTCTATGCGTAAACCTTCCCTCCTTATCCGGGCTTAGGACCGGCTAGTAACTAGTTAACTAGGCGAGGTTCTAAACCTAACTGAAGCCCATGTAAACATGTGACAGGTGTTATGTTATCAGATGACCAATCATAGCTATGTATCGGTCTTCAGACATGACTAGGAGCAAGTATACAAGCTTTATGCATTTACTTCCAAAGAAAAAGCCTCTACTGTGCAGTATTTAGCTCGTATCCCGAATGATGCAGTGTCTGAGATGAACTTACTAATCAACTTTTAATTTTAAAAGGAAGCTAATTAAAGGTGATTTAAGTACTGTGAATCTGATTGCTGATATGACTGTTTATTCAAGTTAACTCTGTGTTTTAAAATAGTTGTAGATGGATTAAATTCTACTTATTTTTTGTATTATGTATACATAAATGCTATATCTGCCCAACTGATGCTATATGACTTGCTAAAAATTCTGGACAATATTGCAGACCAACTATGAAGCTGAGCGAGCCAGTACCAAACTCCGCAATTCGACATAGTTATCCAAGGTATAATAATGAACTGTGTTTCAGTGCGTTTATAAGCCCATCTCATACCGTCGGATAGTTTTCTCTTTGTTTTGCTGTTAGCTTTGTAACCATTTTAAAAGTGTGCAAGCGTACGTGACGCATTTAAGAGATATTTAAAAATTAAAACAAATTGAAAGAAAGGAATTCGCTGTAGTATATTCAGTGGAAAATTGTAAGTAGCCCATAGTTTAAGCAGTCCGCCTATATGTGACGTGAATCAATGCGTAAACAAACAGCATCTATGGTTGCTATAAAATACCACATGCGAAGAACTCAAAAGTATCACTGTACAGTGTGGCATACAAAGTTAATAATAAAAATAGTGTCAGGACTTCGAGACCAAACCTAGGACGGCTAGTCAGTTATCCAAAATAACTCTGATTTCTCTTTCCAGTATAAGAACAAAGTGAACTAGTTTTTGTTCCATCGGAAATTATAGGTATTTAATAGAATATTATCGTCTAAAAAACTATAGCGATCATTATCATCTTAACACTAGGTTATATTGACTTTTCGGCTGCCCCAGTGATGAAAAATAATGAAAGTTAATTTATGTGAGACACATTTGGCCATTAAACTCTACATACAACAGTAACAGCATACATTTGAACTGATTACAATGTATTTGAAGAGTCAAGACGACACCATAGTATGGTGAGATTCAATCGGTACAAAGCTCTGTTCAACCTTTATTCCGTCCTTTTCGGTACTTATCAGTTAGATGCATCTTCAACTATGTGGAGAGTTATGCTCCGTCGGTGGTTTCATGCATCATCACTCGATGGTGAAGTCGGAGACCAAGTTACTAAGTTATTTTGGCCACGACCGTTCGCCTGTAGGATTGTCCACGAGTGGGTAACGAATGTAGCTGTCTAGACCTCAGTGATTACGAGTGACCAAAGTTTGTCGTTTGTTTGCAAGGACTGAAAAGCTACATCGAATACTTACTGATGACTACCCATTCATGCATATCATTTTATATTTTGATCATGCCTGCAGCAATTCATATATATTCCAGATTTTGATGGTGATCAGAACTTAGACACTGAAAGGATAAAGCTTTCTAGCCTGTTATGGGAGGAGGTATGGTCTATAAAACGACTTCCGAATTTAAGGTGAACAAATGCGACAGGAACTGACCAGTTGTGCAAGCGCAATTGTACATAAAAAATGAAGTCACTATGAACTCTAAAACATCACTGATTGACACTACTTGCGTGTTTATCCTTCAAATAACTCAAAAAACCAAAAAAATTTCACGTTTTGTCAGTAAATACACAGGACGTATTCTATAACAACAAGGGTCTTGAATAAGAAACGTGATGAGCTCTTGGGTTCTGGTTCATTCCTTGAGGTCTTCAAGGATACAAGACCATTATATAAACACAGTTAAGATAACTTATTGGTGCTAGGATTTACAATCATCCTTAAAATTCATGCTTTCTATACTGGTGATCACCTAAAGACAAAAAACTCCGGTAAACGACGTTAGAAATAAACAACAAAATATACCTAAAAGAGCTGGTTGTATATTTGAGGATATCATCAGAAAGTATGCCGAGTAAGTTTACTTATTGTAAAATTTACAAGTAAACATAAGAAGGGTCAAAATTGATAATTATCGCCACAATGCTGAAATAATCAATAAACAACAAAGATAAATATTTCAGCGATATAAACATGAGCTGCAAGAATTTAGTGGTAACAAGCAGACAGTAGGTCAACAGACAAGATTCGAAACAAAATGAGTTTCTTCCTGAATAGAGATGAAAATATCAAAGAACACATGTAAGAGTTGGTGTGTAAACTTTATCCATAAGATCACTACGAAGTAAAACAGTTGGAAATGTTACAATGATATGAAATGTGCTTTCTAGCACACTATGTAAGAAATTTGCCAATGTAGGAGGAAAGAAACAAAGTAGGGAAATTAAATCACTTATTGATAATAAAGATAGGAGATCAACATAAAAAATAGTTTAATAAATTAAACTGAAAAAAATAAAGGAAAACAGGAGACAAGATTAATTTAATTGGTCAAAAATTCTTGTAATAAAGTTAAGCGGTGTTTTTCACATATATCCATTTTATTTTGTAAATCTGCTCGATCTGTTATTTCAGCATGCTCTATTTTCCACGAGAGATCTTCCACTTCAGCCTCTAACAAGGCTTGTTGATACTCGAACAATTCTTTACGTTCTAGTTTCTCACCATAGAAAGCGTGTGGATAAGTATACTTCAAAGTGTATCGACAGTTTCTTAGTGTATCTGCAGCCAGTAACAAATATTGCCAATCAATCCATGTACCTTCTTTTTTAAGCACCTTTTCATTGATACGAGCTTGAATACGTGCTCGTTGATCATGTTCTAATCTCAGACTTCGTTCATGATTTTCCCACTGGAAAGGTTAACAAATTAAGATGGAAAAGTAAAATTCAAGCAACGATGTTTTAAGTACGCTATTTATTATTGGTTAGCACTCCAACCAGACAAGTGATACCACAAAAAGCATGAGATAGTTGGAAGAAGCCAAAGGATTGCAGGCAGTTTCAAGATAATGACAGGAATTAATGAAATTTCTCATTGTTGGTTCAATCCATGTAAAGCGACAATTACTGTCGGTCAAATAAATGAGAAAGTTGTTTGTAGACTTCAAAGAGTATAATTTCAAACCGACTATCTAGACAGCAAGATAATATATGTTCGTCTGTTTTATCTTGCTTTCTCGCTACTTAACGGCTTTTTATGTCTGCTGATATTATAAAAACATATTTCTATATCATCTAGTTGACCGGCGCCTCAAATTACCCATTTGAAGTAAGAAAAATTGGGTTGGTACGTGGTCAAGTCAGATGCTATGTTACTGTACATTTTGCCTGCATATGTTCTTGTATCTTGGTTGAATGTATTGTTTCAATAAAGACTCAAACTCGGAATTCAGGGTCAACAGAGAACGTGTTGCAATAACTAGCGACCACATTATTAAGTCTAGGTTTCCAAGTAAAACTGAGGTTAACATTCATCACGTTGAATTTGAAATAGAGTACAATCCACATTGTGGATTTCACCACTAGACAACATATTAAATAATATGACAGCGCTTCAATTGGTTCGATTTAAAGGATATGACATTATATTATCGGGAGATGCGTGAATCAAAACCACAGAACTCATTACTGATGCGTTGAAATAAATCATACAAAAATTATAATCATATGGAAGAGAAAGTGCATATTGATTGACCACTGCAGAGTGACCAATTTCATGTTTTCTAGTTATAAGTACTGACTGAATTCTATCGACCATTATGCAATGCGGTTACCAAACTAGAAGGCTCACCATAATGGTGCACTATGGATAGATGTTAGTTGATTGGAGGCAGTCTGTCAGCATTCAGGAATATAAAACATGGTTATAAAACATTGGTTACTCTCCAGCAACCAATCAGTGTACCTAAATACAGTCCTGCAGGAGGTCAATCACGGCACAGATAGCTCAGTGGTAAAGACGCTGACTGCAACATTGGGTGATGTGGGTTCAAACCCCCGGGCGAGAGATCACTCCCCTCGAGGTTACAGACAGGTGCCAACAGAACGAAATCTAGGTCGAAGGCTTCGTATTCATTGCCTCTAACCGACTAACATCCATCTACAGAAAGTACTCTGTCACGTGACCACACCTACCCTTTAGTATGAAATCTGTTGGTCACATACACACTTATCAGCTCAGTAAATGCGATATATATGATACAATAGCTGGTGCATAATCAGTGTAAACATTTCAAATGAAACACTAATTAGACGATATAGACATTCAACAATTAAAATGTGCTTTTAATTGTCTGAAGTACATTCAGAGATTACTGAATAATTCCTAACCGATTTGTAAATAATTCTCGACTTCAAAAGACATTATGAATTTTAATCGAACCTATTAATTATATGTTCATGAAAACTTTCGCAACACCACATTATCACTGATTTAATCGAACTGGATGTTATATGTGGTAGTAAGGGGATATAATTAAAATACAATAAAGACTTTTCAGTTTTTGACTGCAAGACTTTTCCTGGAGAGACAAGATATTCTCAAAATATGGATCACTTTCACGTTATGTTGACTGACGTAAAAGAGTCACTCGGAAGTGAAACATTAATCCTCCATAGTGCGAACAAGAAGAGGGACATAGATTACACTGATGAGGAAAAAAGACTTACTTTTAAAAATATAAGCCGTATCTGTATCTCTAAAATAAAATGTATATTCAGAACTGGAAAACGCTGAGCTAGGTGAATGAAATTACCCGGTGCACAAATTGCTAGAGGGATTTAATTAGGTTACGAAAAACTGCGTGTGTTATTTCCACACATATGTTTCTTAACGATCAGACGTCTAGATAATTTACAATAAAGTTGGATAAGGATATAACACGACTAGAGCACAGTTTTATCCCACTGAATCAAGTGATATCCTAAGTGATTGACTCTACTAAACTGAGTAAAAAGGCAGTCAAGCGTAGTTATAGATGAACATAATGACTAAAAGTGGTACTGATGCGACTACTGCTTTCGACTTAACTACATACTCGATTTTGCATCTTCAAGCACATACGTTCAACTTGGTTCCGTTTTCACTAGTGCTTTGCACACTACACATTTTTAAGACACACTGCAACTGATTTTGGTAGAAGTAAAACAAGAACAAGGCATGTATCAGCGAAGAAATATTTATTTTCAACGACTTCATTATCAAACTGTACAGTCGTATTTATCTGTCACTTTACCGAGTATAAATACGACTGTACAGTTTGATAATGAAGTCGTTGAAAAGAAATATTTCTTCGCTGATGACATGCCTTGTTCTTGTTAAAGAAGTAAAACAAATATTATACAAAAGTATTTATAAAATCTTAGACAAATAAATAAAATTTATTGCAGATGTATGTTAGCAACGAAAATGTAAAAAAATGCTGTTTTATATAATATGGTATCAGAGCTGAAACATCAAAAACATAATCAAATCAGACTGCATCCAAAATCTTTTGTGCAGGGAGAAAGGTTAACAAAACGTCAACGACGAGCAAACACACTTAAGTGCATGACCTGACAAAATTTCTTACCCTTTCATAATAAAACATGTAACGCTCTAACGATTCACGTGCTCGTGTCCTAACAGATTCTTTTGCAGCATCTGGATTCTCCTGATATTTGCTGCAAAAGTAATATTCTGCATCGTGTGATTTCCACACTTGGATGAAAACAAGAGAGAAGAACGACAAACATCATTCATTACATCATAATAAGCTGTGAAATATAAGTAAAAATTTTATTTTGTATAGAAATACCACGCAAATTTAATGAAGAACGATCTCTGCTGTTAACACATAAAGTGGACTTATCTTATTTATCTAAAATGCGAAATTGGTATAGCATCAGTCACCACATGAAATAGTGCAACAGCATGATAAAGATATAAAAAAGGATAGGGAGGAAAAACAATAGCCAGACTACCAGGAAAGCAGTTTTATGAGATATACTCGGTGCAGTATTCACTGATTTTGCGTTAGATTTTGGCAAGTGAAGAAACATGAAAGCTTTGTAACGGTCAACCATCGTCTCGAGTCACCAAGTCTCACGAACGTTTAGACCCCACTCTACAGTCATGGTTTAAAAGCAGATACTAACTCAACATAACCACCATACATTCTAAAACTCCATGTGATAAACTAATCCCATATCCACATCTTCTAACTAGTCATAGGATCATCAAACAGTGAATGGAATAGAAGCCACTGCAGTGATTTTCCTAATATAGATACGAGCAACCGAAGCAGGAGCTCAGGAGTCTGAAATCAGGATAGAAAAGCTTTCCAGTGCTCTCACGTTTTCAATGGCTTTACAGTTGATGTAGATATGCATTGAAAACTATTTTGAAATCGAAATCAAAGTGTACATAAACTGGGGAAAATGAAGTCGATGGAATGAAATTGTGCAATATAACACATGGCTATTTGTGCCACTATTCGGTAACACAAACGTTTACATTTTGATCATCTTCCCTAAGCATTTCCCAAGTAACAAACAGTTCACCGAAAATCTTCAAAACAGCTGCATAGTACGTCCCACTGACTTTTAGTTCCCAGCTTGCAAGTGACTGAACTGATTAACAAGAGCAATGATTTATTTTTTGGCTTCTATAATTAGTGGCTAGTACTAAAGTGTCACTGGTGTTTGCGTAGTCACACTTGAAATGCATAAAACAACACGTTTTAATTCTCTTACTTATTTAAGTATGCAAAATAATGCTTAAGCTAATAAATGCGCTCTCCTAATAATCTGTTCGGCTCGTATGATACTGTAATAACGTAAGGGTTTCTGCCGCAATTAACTGTATGCAAATCGAAAGGCAATGTGAGACTTTTAGTTTAAAAAAAACATGAATACAATGTAACGTTTATGTGTTAAACGGCAATAAAATAAAGCTCTTTTGTGGTGTTACCCAAGTCAGGATGCTAAAAATAGAATATGAAACACTGTCTTTTAATTACTGTCATGAAATCCAAAATTCAACAAAAACTTTTCATTGAAACAATATTAGGAATATAGGCAGTTTTCTGCCATCTACCAATGATAGATCTTCTGTTTTTATACTAATTTAGGGTTCAACAAGCGATTAATCCACTTGAAGGGAGAATAAAAGATACAATACCTACAAATAATATAAATATTTACCTGAAAAAAGGTGGAATATCGCACTATTTCATGTCATCAACGTTTTGAACAATATGAGTTAAAAGGTTAAACAAATAGGAATGAATTATACCCTGGCATAATTATTCACCTCTCTCAGTTGCCCAAAAGCATACATCAACGATAGGAAAAGATTTTCTAATTGGAAAAATCTTGATGAAAGCGGTTAATAAGCTTGAGAAAAGGGTGCGAAACAAGTTGAAACGAAGAATGAAATCACACAGAATACAATATGTCTAAGGTTATTAAAAAAAAGTGTAGATCCAGGTGTCGGCGAGCTTGGTTCTGAATCTAAGATCTCAATCATCCACTTTGACTGTTGCATAAGCAAAAACCAGTAAGTTCGGGACCAGAAATATTCGCATAATCATCACTGAGGACTTCAAGACTCAATCCTGAGACCTAACAAGAAATACGACAAATAATCACACCTTTGATCAGGCGGAAGCAAAACCGAACTCAATTAAATAGTGAAGAATCGACATCCCTCAGGAACTGAAGAATAAAAAGAACATCATTGCATTTCCAGCTGATTAAGGCGGCACTAAAGTAGTCAAGGATAAAGACGACTACATCAAAAAGGCAGAAGAATTACTCATGGAATAAACGTATATCAACCAACAGAGACAAATCCCATTTAAAAGTTTGATAACCAAATCACCAAGACCTTGGAGCAAACTTGTCAAAGCGGGACAAATCACAAAACAAGGGTAATGGCGAACTGAATCCAATGGACCTGTTCTCCTACGTTTCCATGGTAGACCAAAAATATATAAACCAAACATTCCACTACGACCAACTGTTTCACTCCCAGGAACCCCGACATACAATCTTTCTAAAAAAACTCTTCAGAAAATTAAAACATTTGGTAAACTTGTGCGACCACTCTATCAACTCTTTGACACAGTTTTTGGAAAAGTACAAGCATATTCATACTGACAACGACGAAATGATGGTGTCTTTCGACGTCACAGCTCCATACACCTCAACTGAACCAAAACTGGCTAGGGATACAATGACTCTTCTCCCCAACAATGATACACACCTCTCGGAACACACGCAACTACAATGTTTAAGTTTGGTGGAATTAACTGATTTATCCCTTACAACATATTTTCAATTTAAAGGCAAACTCTACAAACAGAGAAAGGAAATAGCAATAGGATCGTCGATATCAAGACTAATTGCAGAAGCAATAAGGCAAAGACTGGAAACTATGGTATTGTCGTTGATCAAACCAAAACTTTGGATTCGATGTACAGAAGACACGTTTGTCAACATCCAAAGAAAGGAAGTGAAAAACATTTTCGACAACATCAAATTCACAAATGAAGAGGAATTAAATAACAAACTTGTATTTTTAGATGTTGTGGTCATTAGAACGGATTTGGGGAAATCGGAAACTGAAGTGTACAGAAAACCAACTCATACTGATCAAATCCTCAACTACAGTAGAAACAACCTAAAAGCGTACGCAGCCAGTTGTATAAAAGCATTGTTCGAAAGAGCGAAGATACATTGTAGTGCATCAACACTGCGAAGAAAAGAAAACTATTTGATGTCTGTTTTCGAGAAGAACGGTTACCCATGTAACTTCATCAAAAGATGTTTACGTAATTCGTTATCAACCAAGAAGTCAACCTCGAGAGGTAACAAACGGACTGTCCTAATCTACACGAAGAACGTCTCAGAGATCACTGCTGGATTATTGAAGCCTTTTGGAATTGCTGTATCTCACAAGCCCAAAAAATATCTTTACTCTCTGCTATGCAGGCCGAAAGATAGAATAGGAAAGGAAGACAAACTGGATATTATCTACCAAACAAACTGCAGAAACTGTGAGAAACACTACATCGGACAGAATGGTCGCCCTCTTAGCATCCATCTACATGAACATCAATTAGCAGTGAAGCGTCATGCTATATCTTTAATCATATCAATCCATACAGACAACTGTGGACAGGAATTTGACTGGGGAAATATGAAAAATACAAAGAATGTCAGAGAATTCTTACAATCTTAGTATTCAGGTCAGTCAACAATCAAAAGACATATTGACATAGACTCAATCTACCAACCAATAAGAAACAACAAGAAGGTCAAATTTCAGGTCATTAGGACAACCGATCAATATAAACATGAAGACAATGGATAAGACCTTGGCAGAAACAACCAATCACACACAAGGCCATCAGGACAAGCTCCCAAATAATTTGGAGAGAAAACCTTGTGGTTCGCTTCTTTCTGAAGTTTGTGTTGACGGTGTTGTCTAGAATGACGATGAAAGCTCCACGATTTAGCAATTTAGCTCAGAGAACACAACACCATCAAAATTATCCCCCTAACATACAAATATTCTATATCATTTATGATTCACTTGAAATATGGCAGGTTGGTTAACAAAGTGCATCGTTGACAGATATTTGAGATGAGCTGGACGCCGCTTAAACTTCGATTTCATGACACGGGCAATAAAGGACTTTACCTCCTTGAAAATTTCAGGACACTGTACAGAAGCCGAATACATCGCACTAAAAAAACTTACATTCGTAAGACAGTAAATAATTCAACGTCAAAAGATCTACTTACCGCCTAAACACACCCAGCAAAATTCATAATGGCATATTGAGCATTTCTAAAGTGAATACACATAATAAAATCAATGCTATAAAAAAGAATAGCCTTGAAAATTAACAAAAACAAAATCCTAGCAAATTAATAGTCGCACTCGCCAAATATCATGTAAACGATCTTGTCTTTCTATTCACGAATAATTTCATCATTTATGTGAGTTTTGAAATCAAAGTACACTGAACCTTCAAAAGACAATCTGCTTTAGTGACCTAGTAGTCTACTTACAGTAAATATGAAAAAAGGTATTTAGTAATGATAAAGACAAAAACTCATAACTGCTAGAAGGGAATTCGTCAACATTCAGATTGCTCTTACATTTGGATTCCAAAGTAGTCATGCAAAAGAATGAAATTATTGTAATATGCGTTCCAATTATAGGTAGCTAAATGATAAGATATAAATAATAATATTCAATGGAAAATTCCCATATTAAAATAGAACGAAGATTTAGCACTCAAGGGAATTTAATAATGCTGCGCAATAGTGATTATAAGTATCGGAGAAAAAAATGAGTCTATTATTGATCACTAGGGTCACGTTATTAATATAACATCCAGCATCAAGATAAAATATTTCTCAAGACAGAAGGAGATCACTGGAGAAAGTAAAGTCGATACATATAAATACGACTGCACAACTTTGGTAAGTGACATCGTCGAAGAAACAATGTGTTTTGTTAAAATTTTATTCCATAGGTAAATATTAATCCGTAGTATTTTAAGCATAAAAGATGTTGTAACTCGATGACAATGTACTTGTTAGCGTTGGAGCAATCAATTGCTCTCGCGTGGCCAATTAATGTATGTAATGCAGTCCTACAGGAGGTCAATTGAGGACCGAATAGCTCAGAGGTAAAGTCGCTGACTACAACAATAAGTGACACGGGTCCGAATCTCAGGTGTCCCATCGAGGTTGAAGATACACCTCGCTAACGAGTGTCAACAAGCACGACACCTACGTCTAGAAATCTTAACGATTACCACTAACTAACTAATACCCATCAATGCGCGCCGCGATACTGAGCTTTCCAGCTTGGTGGTCACATTGCAAAAATGACCGGTAGAATTCGGTCAGCATTCCGGACAAAATATGAAATTGGTTACCCTCACTTGATCAATCACTGTATAGAACGAACTATATCGCAGCATACTCGTTCTTAGATAGATGGTCGGATATCTCGCTAGTCAGCGTCACAGATGACGCAAGTCGGCCTCTTACGTCCGAACTGATATTTCTTCGGCAACCATTTACGCCTATGCGAATCCCTAAGCAAATGAAGTGATCGATGCATTCAACCACTTCACTACCTATCATCTAGTTGTATACCAGTCATGTAGCATCTTCTAACATCTGAAAGGTGTGAAACGCGTGCCAAACATACTTAGATTTCCGCTTAACGCTTCCAGAAGACCTTGCATTTTGTCAGCACCTTCACCTAAAAGAATAATATTGTCTGCAAAGTCCAAGTCAACCAGATAACCTTCAAGGTTTAGATCAATCCCTGTGAAGTCAGAAGTACCTAAGGTTGTGCCCATTAATACGTCTGTAATGAAGTAAAATAGGAACGGTGCCAGTAGGCATCCCTGGTGGACACCGCCAGTTGTTATCAATTCACATGTCGACTCTCTATAAACCCTGACACGGCTGTGTGAGTTTGAGTAGAGAGCTTTTATCATAGTCATACACTGTCACAACGCTTCGCGCTCGACAGAGTCAGATGCCACCTTCAGGTCAAGAAATATGACGTATGTCGCCCGTAAGTAGGCCTGTGTTCAATGGCCTGTCGAAGCGTGAAAATATGATCGATGCACTCCCGTCCAGGTCAAAAACTTGCCTTCTCGATTGTGCTATTCTCGAACTTCAGACAGGTGTCGGTTAACTACTGCTTGGGTATTTTGGTAGGTTGCTATTTCATTTTAGTCTAGTTATTAGAAATGTCACACAGCCAAACAGCCATCACTTACTGCATATCGTTCCGGACGTAATTTATTTTCCCTATTCATATCATGTGATATGAATATAGATAATAAATTATATTCAAAACGGTCTGCAGTAAATGATAATGTCTCACTGTGTCACATTTTTAACAAACAGACTAATAAGTCGGTTAACTATAGATCTTAGGATACTGGAAACAATACCAATAAATTAATCCTCCTATGGATGTCACAAAAAGACTTCTGACCCTTCTTAGACTGAGATGATCCGTGAAGCAGACCAATATGACAGAACCGCGTCTGATTTCCATACACTACCTAGTACCTCCGTCACTTTAGGCAGCGATTTTCTACCTCCATCCTTGAAAATGTCAGCTGGTAAACTGTCGGGTCATGCTGCTTTAGATCATTCCAGGTACGATACAGCTTTCTCAACTTCAAGGAGGATTGATGGACTGATATCTGCGCCCCATCCACGTTCAGGCTGGATGTTGGGCAACTTAAGCGTTGTTGAGGGCCAGTTTAGATGTGATTCAAAGTATTCTACCCAACGTTCTAGCTGCCTGTCCTGGATGTTTATCAGCAGCCTATCCTTTTCAGTGATGGCTTCACTAACCATCGTCTTCTTCTTGCTGGTATTCTTAATAAAACTAAATAATTGCCGACTGTTACCTAACGCAGATGCCTTCTCCATCTCTCTTGCGATCATTGCGAAGACTATTGGTCAATTTACGTTCAAGTTTCCTTCGTTCTTCATCGTTGTCAGAGCCAGTTGGAATCAGTCTTCTCGCATCAATCGGTTCCGATAAAGTTGTGGAAATACGATGACGTTTGTTAACCTTCGGGTGTAGGTTACCAACTGTCTTTACCGCTGTTTTTACAGCAGACGTAATATCACACCAGGTTTCTTCAGGATGAGCATTGCTGTCACGTTCAGATAAGGGCTTAGCTAACTGCTCTCTAAATGCATACTCAGTGTCCTCATATTCCTATCAACTATAGACAGGCTTCACTATCGCCTGTTTCCTGCTACCAGTAAGGCACAAACATACCAACACGTACTACTGCGTGATCGGAGTCCAAACTGATAACTCCATAAAGACCGGCGATCCTCCACCGATCCTCTCCAACGACGGCTTATAGCAATGTGGTCCATCTGTGTCCATTATTAATTTGAAGTCAGTGGACGCTATGTGAGTCAGTGACTCTCTTTATGCCTGAAGTTAGTGTTGGTCAGAAACAAGCTATTGTCGGAATAAAGTCGAAACAGACAGTCACAGCTGTCGGTTCGCTGACATGGAATTCCGTAAATCCTTCGCAGATGCCCTTCCGATTGGCCCAGCTTCCCTATTTCAGCGTTAGAGTCACTTGCTAGTATGACTATGCCTGAAAGCTTTGCAAAATTAACAGATGATCATAGAATTCATCCTTTGCATCATTCGAACTGCAGTCGATGATGCGCAGGCGGAAATTATGGATAGCCACTAGTTGGTCTCACGATCCTTCTTGGTTTTTACAGATTCATTCAGCCAAAAAGCGCATAGCCACCTGCTGACTAGTATCCAGTTGAGGAACTAACTTTCTGCTCTACAATTCAAGGTGATGTCTACACCGGTGAGTTCACAAGAGCCAGACAGTGCGTCTCCGGATAATCATGAGGTGATTTTTGAAGATTCACTATGGTCAGGTGAGATCAATCTAATAACCACACTCGGATCCTCTTTGCGTGTCTCAGAAATAAAGCATACATCCATGGTTTGAAATTCTACAGTTCTAGTGAGAGATGCCTACTGTTCAATTTGGCACACAGTTGGAATCTTAAAAGGCGTCAATATGAAATTAGCAGAGGTTATTAATAGGCTACGAATGAAGTTTTGATGGCCACGAAGAGAAAGGTTGAGGAAGCGTTAAGAGGCTCAATATTAATATAACGACGTGGAGACAAAAGAGAAGACAGAGTTATAAAGGACAAGCTTTATTTGATTGGAACTTAGTAAATAACGTTTGGAAAAAAAATTCCTCCAACATAATTCTGTTTAGGCAAATGAAGCCATATAGCATATAAGCAACTAGGAACACGATGATACCTCGCAAACATTTGTACGGAAATAGGAGCCAAAATTCAGGAAATTAATATTGTGGGACAACAAAAGCGCCTTCGAAACAGACATACAAACAACATTATTATCTAGCCTACGGGTTCCTACTGGAACGTAAGGCTTCAGCAGCACGTCTCCATTGCATTCTGTTCTCTGCAGTCTTTTCAACCTGGTTCCACGACTGCTAATAAGCTTTCATTTTTTCCTCGCACCATCTCCTCCATGTCATCCTCACCTCGGACGCCCAACTCGTCGTCTCCCCTTTGGATTCCACGCAACGGCCTGGCCTGACACGCGATGTCTCCGAATGGTCTTCTCAGTGCATGCCCAATCAATCTCCACTTCCTTCTGCATATTTGTTGGGCGGTAGCTTCTCAGTTGCTTCGTTGCCAGCCAGCCAGAGTCCCTTGTTCCCTATTCTTTCCGGCCATCTGATCTTCACTATCGAGTGGGCGTAGGCCGCAGCTTTTGATGAATGCCTGTTGTTTGTTGGAAATCCCTTTCGTAACGCGCCAAGTTTTTAAACCATATTGAAGCACTGATTTGATTAAATTTGGTGTTGAAAATCCGGATCTTGTTCACGCCTTATGCTGAGTGCAGAAGATCTCCACACTGGTTTCAGATTAATGAAGGAAGGCCTGTCTTGTTTTTCCAATCCTGGCTTGGACGCCTTCATCTGTGCCGCCTGTAGTTGAAACAGTGCTGCCTAGGTAGGTGAAAGAGGCTACTTTCTTTAGGTTTCTCCTGTTGATGGTGATTGGTGCTTGTGGTTGTTGGTTGGGTACCTTCATCACCTCTGTCTTCTCTACGTTCACTTGAAGTCCCGTCTTCACTGCCTCTTCTGTCAACTTGTTGGTTTCTGCATGTAGATCCTCGAGTTTGTGCGACATTAGACATAAATCATCGGTGAAATCCAAATCTTCTAGAGTCTTTTCACCAGTCCAGCGTATGCCCATCTTCTCATAGCTCCTCACAGTTTGCTGTATGATTCAGTCCAGTCCAGTCCAGTCAAGTCAAGTCAAGTCGATCACAATCAGGAAGATCATCGGTGATAGTAGGCGGCAGCCTCGTCTCACTCCTGTCTTCACTTCAAAGGCGTCACTGAGCTTTCCATTGTGAATCACCTGCCATGCAGCATCGTCATACAGCTATTGAATGAGGTTGATAAAGGTTTGTGGTATTCCGCAGTGTTGAGGCAGTTTCCAAATCAATTCTCGATCGACGTTATCGAAGGCTTTTTCAAAGTCAATGAAGTTGAGGTAGGGGGTTGACTGACATTCTATACTCTGTTCTATGATGATGCGTAGTGTTGCTATTTGGTCCGCACATGATTTGTGCTTCCTGAAGCCAGCGCCTCTTTTAATCTCTCCGGGATGAGCGGCTTAATATTTTGCTTGTTTTGGGTGGACAGGAGCGTGATTCCGCACCAGTTCTTGCAAGGACTTAGGTCGCCCTTCTTCGCGAGTTTGACAAGGTAACCCATCTTCCAATCGCCAGGTACCTTCCCTTCCTTCCAGATCTTCTGCAATAGTGGTGTGAGCATGTCCGTTGTTGTCTCTGCGTCTGCTCTGAGTGCTTCTGGTGGGATTCCATCTGCTCCTGCTGCTTTCCCAGATTTCAGCAACTTTATGGCGTTCACGACTTCGACTTTTGTCGGAGGGCTTGTGTTCACTGGCAATTCTGTGGCTGCTGGTAATATTTCTGGACGAGTTGTAGGTGGTGGTGATGGTGGTGGAAGTCGATTCAAGAGTTTTTCGAAGTGGTCAGCCCATCGTTTCCTTTGTTTCTCCTCCTTGATGTTAACTAAGTTTCCTTCACTATCTTTCATTGGTTTCATCTGCATTGATCTCTTCCCAGATAGTAACCTAGTTATTTGATATAGTGTTGTCAGGTCTCTGTCCCTCCTACCTGCAGCTTAATCTGCTTAACTTGCCAGTGTGTCGTAAAAGTGTCTTTTGTCTTTCCGTGCACTCTTCTTCACTTCTTTTTCCAGTGTAGTGTTTCATAGGTTGTGTTCAGTTCCTCTTTTCGTTGTTCATCCCTGCACTGCACTGCACTGCACTGCACTGCACTGGTTCATCTTCTGCTTCACCATCTTCCTCTCCTTGCTCTATCAGCTTCCTTGTATCCGTGGAGATCCATTTGTTGTCTTGATTCTTCTTCCTTCCCAATACGGTTATGCAGGTTTCTTTCCACATCTCTTTCAAACAGTTCCAGTGTTCTCCCATGCAGGTTTCTTCAGGGATGTTGCTTAATGTCTCCCATTTTTTCCTGATGACTGACGTGAAGAACTCCTTTGTAGCTTCGTCCTTCAGTTCACTTTCTGTTCTGGGTGTTCAACTTGAACTGTCGTCTATCATCACCAGCTCCTTTGAAGGCCTTCAGCTTGATTTTGAAGGTTCCTTGCACTACATAGTGAGTGGTCTGAACCTACATCTGCTCCCCTTCTTGATCGGATCTTGTGTCCAGTAGGCTGACTGCATCTCCACTTTCTTCACACTAAGATGAAGTCGATCTGATTTTTAGTGTGTCCATCTGGTGAAATCCATGTCGCTCGCTTTGTGAGTATCCTTGTGCTTGTACACACTGCCTCCAATCATCAAATCATCAAATGCACAGAAGTCTCCAAACACTTCTCCATTCTCGTTCATCATTTCACCGAGCACTACTCGACCCATGATAAGTTCTCTTCCTGTGTTGTCTGCTCCCAGTTTCGCATTCATGTCATCCCACCCATTAGAATGGATTTCGATGTCACCACCTGGGGTCTGATTCCGTACTGATTGCAGTTGTCTACAAAATTCCTCCCCCTTCTCTTGATCTGCATTATTTGTAGGTACATACCGTAGCATTGTATGATTGTCACTTTCCTTTCTTTTGAGTTGAATCTTGCTGTCATCATCCTGGAGGAAATTGGTTCCCACTACATGACAACCTTCGATGCTCTTGGGGACATCATGATAGCCACTCCAAAACTCAGTGTGCTCGTGGTTGTCTTCCAGGTGACAATATCGGAGTGGATGATTGACTCTCCAGTTGACAGTTTGGAGAGTCCACTTCCATTCCATCTACTTTCGCAGACTCCAAGCACTTCTTTCCCACACCTTCTCATCTCTTCGGCAATCTGGGCAGCCTTGCTAGCTTCAAATATTGTGCGGACATTTCGTGTTCCCATGTTTACTTTCGCTTTCATCGAGAGAAGACACATCGGTCAATTGGCTTCCCGAAGGCTTTCACCAACCGGCGTCATTCCGTCTCCTCGATTCCAGCAAGGAATAAGTTCATTTTTATTTTTTATATTTGCTTTGTGCTTTGAAGTTTCTTTAGCGATTCGATTGACTTTACGGCGTAGGATTGCTAGTTCTATGCGTAAACCTTCCCTCCTTATCCGGGCTTAGGACCGGTTAGTAACTAGTGAACTAGTTAACTAGGCGAGGTTCTACACAAATATGGAAAGTTAATATGTTTTTTCAGTTCGTCATAGTGATGCATTGTGTTGGAAACGTATACTTATCGGTAATCAGTTTATATAACGGAATAAGGTAAAAAATCATACGTTTTAATAGATGCTATTGCTATCATTCAAATTTTAGTTTAATAGTCTCCGAGTATGCGCAAATATTTATAATAAGTAACCCCAGTATGGTAGCATTCAATCTTTTTGGTAGATTCCATATACTTTGTCAAAGATTTCCACCATATGTTGAAAAACCAGGATATCTGGTAATGACAAATATTTAGAGTTTGTAATCAGGTACGTGCTTTATTATGCTAGTTAGTTAGAACGTTTTTGCTACGCTAGTATTTTAAAATGAATGCACCGTTTATCTCCTAATATAACTTTAGTCACCTCTGACTATAATTATCTACTGTTTGAATATCCTAACAACTTGATAAATGAGAGTTGAGTTTTTCAGACGTATCACTAAACTTTGAAATACTCCTATTATCACTATTATATTATGTAGATATATTTTAAATAAACAAACAGGTAAAAACCACTCACCATATGATTGCAGCCTTCGTTCTTTTCTATACACACATGACATGACGGACAGTCTTTAGTATGTGCTGTCATATAATTCGCTGTTCCTGAGTCATCTCGACATTTAACAAGCCAGTGCTTCAAAGTTGCACAACTAGTCGGAGCATGGTAGGCTTCTGAGCACATGAAACAAAATTCTGAATGACAACGTTCACACCGGACACGACGTGCTTTCGGCTCTTCCAGTGAACAAATTAAAACAGGACAGTTAAAACCCACACAAAATCGTAGTGAAGGATGACTCTGCAAAAAAGTGTAATAACAGGAAATTTGTTGCTTCAAAAACTATTAAGGTGCATATAATACGATTGAATCATATTATGTATCGAAAGATGCGACAGATCTAGAAACGCCTGGTGTACCAAATACTAACGTGAATATCACACATATCTTTTAGTTGCAACATTAAAAATGCACCCAACTGAATCATTAGCTAAGAAGATTGGAATCTGTTGGTAGACATATAGCTGGTAAAATGTCGAATCAAATATAAAAGCCAGAGAAAAACACTTATCCGGGTCACGTTCAGCACCATCAGGCTGCTAGCTTGGTAGCAAAACGTCAGGTATATACGTCGTCAATTGTAGCTATTCCGCTGAAAACTTCTGAAACTTGGCCTCTCGAAGCTGAGGACATCATGCGACTTTGAGTGTTAGATAATTGATCAGCGATTTTTTCACAAGATTACCGGAATTCTGTGGAAACCTGAAAGTAGTTCCGAGGTTAGGCGGTGCATGTTTGGGAGCAATGGAGGTCGTCATTCACTGGGGGAAACCACCTCAAAACGCGAATTAAGCGACTTTTGTTCGTCCTATGCATCTCACGCCAGTGACTTTCCTGCCGTCAACACTTTGCCAACTCTGACACTGGCTAGGAGAAGCAAAGAAGTGGTCAATGAAAAGATGCTGTGAAAAGTCAAGTCAGCATCTGTCGATACCTCAAAAATCGAAGTGTGATGTCTGCGACACCAACAAACCAAAGTTTTCAGAAGAAACCATTATTATTGCTAATACCAACTTGGGATCTTAATGGAAACCAGACCCTCAGTAGCACGTCTCCTAGGTAATTAATCCGCTACAACAACAAACGCGCCTTCGAAACAGACATACAAACAACATTATTATCTAGCCTACGGGTTCCTACTGGAACGTAAGGCTTCAGCAGCACGTCTCCATTGCATTCTGTTCTCTGCAGTCTTTTCAACCTGGTTCCACGACTGCTAATAAGCTTTCATTTTTTCCTCGCACCATCTCCTCCATGTCATCCTCACCTCGGACGCCCAACTCGTCGTCTCCCCTTTGGATTCCACGCAACGGCCTGGCCTGACACGCGATGTCTCCGAATGGTCTTCTCAGTGCATGCCCAATCAATCTCCACTTCCTTCTGCATATTTGTTGGGCGGTAGCTTCTCAGTTGCTTCGTTGCCAGCCAGCCAGAGTCCCTTGTTCCCTATTCTTTCCGGCCATCTGATCTTCACTATCGAGTGGGCGTAGGCCGCAGCTTTTGATGAATGCCTGTTGTTTGTTGGAAATCCCTTTCGTAACGCGCCAAGTTTTTAAACCATATTGAAGCACTGATTTGATTAAATTTGGTGTTGAAAATCCGGATCTTGTTCACGCCTTATGCTGAGTGCAGAAGATCTCCACACTGGTTTCAGATTAATGAAGGAAGGCCTGTCTTGTTTTTCCAATCCTGGCTTGGACGCCTTCATCTGTGCCGCCTGTAGTTGAAACAGTGCTGCCTAGGTAGGTGAAAGAGGCTACTTTCTTTAGGTTTCTCCTGTTGATGGTGATTGGTGCTTGTGGTTGTTGGTTGGGTACCTTCATCACCTCTGTCTTCTCTACGTTCACTTGAAGTCCCGTCTTCACTGCCTCTTCTGTCAACTTGTTGGTTTCTGCATGTAGATCCTCGAGTTTGTGCGACATTAGACATAAATCATCGGTGAAATCCAAATCTTCTAGAGTCTTTTCACCAGTCCAGCGTATGCCCATCTTCTCATAGCTCCTCACAGTTTGCTGTATGATTCAGTCCAGTCCAGTCCAGTCAAGTCAAGTCAAGTCGATCACAATCAGGAAGATCATCGGTGATAGTAGGCGGCAGCCTCGTCTCACTCCTGTCTTCACTTCAAAGGCGTCACTGAGCTTTCCATTGTGAATCACCTGCCATGCAGCATCGTCATACAGCTATTGAATGAGGTTGATAAAGGTTTGTGGTATTCCGCAGTGTTGAGGCAGTTTCCAAATCAATTCTCGATCGACGTTATCGAAGGCTTTTTCAAAGTCAATGAAGTTGAGGTAGGGGGTTGACTGACATTCTATACTCTGTTCTATGATGATGCGTAGTGTTGCTATTTGGTCCGCACATGATTTGTGCTTCCTGAAGCCAGCGCCTCTTTTAATCTCTCCGGGATGAGCGGCTTAATATTTTGCTTGTTTTGGGTGGACAGGAGCGTGATTCCGCACCAGTTCTTGCAAGGACTTAGGTCGCCCTTCTTCGCGAGTTTGACAAGGTAACCCATCTTCCAATCGCCAGGTACCTTCCCTTCCTTCCAGATCTTCTGCAATAGTGGTGTGAGCATGTCCGTTGTTGTCTCTGCGTCTGCTCTGAGTGCTTCTGGTGGGATTCCATCTGCTCCTGCTGCTTTCCCAGATTTCAGCAACTTTATGGCGTTCACGACTTCGACTTTTGTCGGAGGGCTTGTGTTCACTGGCAATTCTGTGGCTGCTGGTAATATTTCTGGACGAGTTGTAGGTGGTGGTGATGGTGGTGGAAGTCGATTCAAGAGTTTTTCGAAGTGGTCAGCCCATCGTTTCCTTTGTTTCTCCTCCTTGATGTTAACTAAGTTTCCTTCACTATCTTTCATTGGTTTCATCTGCATTGATCTCTTCCCAGATAGTAACCTAGTTATTTGATATAGTGTTGTCAGGTCTCTGTCCCTCCTACCTGCAGCTTAATCTGCTTAACTTGCCAGTGTGTCGTAAAAGTGTCTTTTGTCTTTCCGTGCACTCTTCTTCACTTCTTTTTCCAGTGTAGTGTTTCATAGGTTGTGTTCAGTTCCTCTTTTCGTTGTTCATCCCTGCACTGCACTGCACTGCACTGCACTGCACTGGTTCATCTTCTGCTTCACCATCTTCCTCTCCTTGCTCTATCAGCTTCCTTGTATCCGTGGAGATCCATTTGTTGTCTTGATTCTTCTTCCTTCCCAATACGGTTATGCAGGTTTCTTTCCACATCTCTTTCAAACAGTTCCAGTGTTCTCCCATGCAGGTTTCTTCAGGGATGTTGCTTAATGTCTCCCATTTTTTCCTGATGACTGACGTGAAGAACTCCTTTGTAGCTTCGTCCTTCAGTTCACTTTCTGTTCTGGGTGTTCAACTTGAACTGTCGTCTATCATCACCAGCTCCTTTGAAGGCCTTCAGCTTGATTTTGAAGGTTCCTTGCACTACATAGTGAGTGGTCTGAACCTACATCTGCTCCCCTTCTTGATCGGATCTTGTGTCCAGTAGGCTGACTGCATCTCCACTTTCTTCACACTAAGATGAAGTCGATCTGATTTTTAGTGTGTCCATCTGGTGAAATCCATGTCGCTCGCTTTGTGAGTATCCTTGTGCTTGTACACACTGCCTCCAATCATCAAATCATCAAATGCACAGAAGTCTCCAAACACTTCTCCATTCTCGTTCATCATTTCACCGAGCACTACTCGACCCATGATAAGTTCTCTTCCTGTGTTGTCTGCTCCCAGTTTCGCATTCATGTCATCCCACCCATTAGAATGGATTTCGATGTCACCACCTGGGGTCTGATTCCGTACTGATTGCAGTTGTCTACAAAATTCCTCCCCCTTCTCTTGATCTGCATTATTTGTAGGTACATACCGTAGCATTGTATGATTGTCACTTTCCTTTCTTTTGAGTTGAATCTTGCTGTCATCATCCTGGAGGAAATTGGTTCCCACTACATGACAACCTTCGATGCTCTTGGGGACATCATGATAGCCACTCCAAAACTCAGTGTGCTCGTGGTTGTCTTCCAGGTGACAATATCGGAGTGGATGATTGACTCTCCAGTTGACAGTTTGGAGAGTCCACTTCCATTCCATCTACTTTCGCAGACTCCAAGCACTTCTTTCCCACACCTTCTCATCTCTTCGGCAATCTGGGCAGCCTTGCTAGCTTCAAATATTGTGCGGACATTTCGTGTTCCCATGTTTACTTTCGCTTTCATCGAGAGAAGACACATCGGTCAATTGGCTTCCCGAAGGCTTTCACCAACCGGCGTCATTCCGTCTCCTCGATTCCAGCAAGGAATAAGTTCATTTTTATTTTTTATATTTGCTTTGTGCTTTGAAGTTTCTTTAGCGATTCGATTGACTTTACGGCGTAGGATTGCTAGTTCTATGCGTAAACCTTCCCTCCTTATCCGGGCTTAGGACCGGCTAGTAACTAGTGAACTAGTTAACTCGGCGAGGTTCAATGAAATATATGGGATTTGAAGTTTCCAATTTTTATGGATTACCTAAGATTCATAGAAGTTATAATACGTCACGTGGTCACTATCCAAAAGCCAAGTGGAACGACCCCGTCCTTCTTGCAGAACTATGGCCCTTCGCTCTATAAATGAATGGTGTTTCTGAGACGCATATATGTGAGCTGGGTGCGGTTGTTCACATGACTTCAACAGGTCCATGAGGCTTATCTGTGAAGTTCATCTTATGATGAGATTCAATGGATGGCATCGCATGTCTAGCTGTTATAAGTATGTAGTTAAGTAACAGAACAGTGTGCAATAAAAACATAGATAAAGACAGTTCGCAACCTATAGCTAAAGGTTACTTAAAGCTTGTGGATTTTCGCAACCTCATCTGAACTTATTAACGCGGGAAAATTCATTCCAGCTGGCTCTGACTGCAATGAGTGGAAGCAGCTCAAACAAAAAATGACCAAAAGTCTTCGTGATGATCGCAACCAGCGGTCAGTGGTGAGAGCGAGTGAGATGGAGAAGACATCAGCATCAGGTAGTACTAGTAAAATAATTTCGTTTGTGAGAGATAATGACAAGAATACAATAACGGTCAGTGAGACTGTTAACGAGAAGGATGGGTCTGTGGTAACTTCCTAAGACAGACGGTCACAATGCTGATGGAACGCTGAAGAGCAGTTCGACTGGCTTACCTGTTAGGGGATGAGCATACTGCGCTACAATTAGAGCTGGTCCATTATGCAGTTGTGAGATATGGTTCCAGATAAAAAAAGATTTTAAAAGATTGTGTATTTTCACTGCAGATATCTTGGAAACACTGTTCCCGTATGCTGGGGTCACCGCGTGAGGAAAGACAAGGTTACGTGGGCACTAAACAAGGAAGACAAGTCGTCGATGCGGTTGTGATACTTAACCAAATGAAGCAGCTTTGCAAAACACGTCAGAAAAAGATTCGTGAAGAGCAGTCCGGGTTTCGTTCAGGTTGTGGATGCATTGACCATGTGTTGTTTACCCTCTCTTCCAGAGGCTTGAACATCGCTAGACATATTGGAGACCAAAAAGCGTTGTGTTGCTTGACATTCGGACTACCTTGATTCTTTGTACAGAGCTGTACCCTGGAATTGTCTATTGGAGAGGGATGTGTCTGAGAGATTTATTAACATCGTGAAAGTGTTAAATAATAACACCTCAGGTAGAGTGACGGAGTACAAGCACCTGTCTCTATTGTTCCAAACCTGCAGTAGAGATAGGAAAGGTTTCCCGACTTCGCTATTCCTCTTAAGCTTGCCATGTATGACATTCTTGAGGCAGCTGTGAAGGTGCGTGATGGTGATGTAAATCTACTACCCGGAGAACGTCTGTTAGACCTTGAACATGCGGACGATATCGTCTTACTGTGCAGTAACACACAGGCTATTGAAATCGCACGTAATCAGTTGGCGATTAGTGTCCGTAACTATGGTATGTGCTTTGAACCGTCGAAGTGCAAATTACTTTTGCAAGATTGGTAGGAGCCTTTGCCTGCGCTCGCACTTGAAGGTGAGCGTTTGGAAGTAGTTGAAAAGTTCGTGTATCTGGGTAGTTGTGTGAGTGCTGGTGGAGGTGTGAGCGATGAAATTTCCATCTGTATATCTAAAGCCAGAGTGACATACGTCAATCTGGGCCACCTTTAGCGACGTCGCGGCGTTAGTCTGACTGTAAAAGGTCGGGTTTACAACTCTTTGGTGCGAGCAGTTCTGCTCTATGCCTGTGAAACCTGGCCTCTCCGAGCTGAGGATGTGCGACGACTGTGTTCGATCATTGTTGTTTCTGGATGGTTGCTGGTATGCAGTGCCAACACCATGTAGGTAATTCTGAGGTGCGATAGAGTGTGTTTGGACATGATGGAGATCGCTATCCAATAAGTGAAGTCATCTGGAAACATCGGCTTCGGTGGCTTGGACATGCATTACACATGTCGTCCCAACGGCTTCCATACTGTTCACTGTTTGCTAGCCCGGGGACTGGATGGAAGAAGCGGAGGGATGGTCAGTGTATGACGTGGCGCCATGAGATGAAGGATAGTTGTATCGGGTTAGCATCTGTTGGTGCATCATGACTCCTGGGTGGGATCCGAAAGGTTACGCAACTCAGTGACTTGAGATGTTATCAGATATGGCTCAGAATCGAAACCAGTGGTGGGGTCGTGCTGTAGCTGCCTCTTATTTTCTGCTACTGAGAAGTAATGAATATTTTGTTTTGAATGTATCTTACTGGACTGCCCCTTTAATCATGCTATTCTTTTTGTTTTTCCTTCTTATTTATTCACTTCCAATCGTTTGTGTCTTCGATGTTATTATATATTTTTGTGTGGCGCATTTCTTGGTGCCCTTGATGTACCACGTTTGTTTCCTAATAAATTAAGATAAATTACGTGTCAGTACGCTAAATGAATAACCAGTCCAACCAACCCTACAATTAAGACAAGCTAACATACTGAAGAAAACCCGTTAAATATGAATTTAGAGAATTGCATTTAGAAGCCATAGAATAATAATATTTATGTCCTGAGCTCAGAAATGACTTACTTCAACCATACGCTGAAACAATAAATTTAAATATTTGTCCTTTACAGGTGAATTCTTTAATAATGTTAGCAGAAAATCCTCTATGACTAGAACGTTACATCCAACCGACATACACTTAATATCAATACTTAAACCTTCTTCAATTTTTACTGTCAAATACGAACACCAACAATCCCGACAAAATCGATGACCACATGACAGACCGCATAATCCATTTATTCCATTACTACTTGAAAAATTATATTTTTTATCATGAGATTTATCTGACCAAACATCAAATACACTATTGGAAATAGTAGAGGGATGAGATGAAGGCGGAGGAATAGTAATACCATAAGGAAAAGAAATCGAAGTCTTCGAACTCTCTTGTTTGAAGGGATTTGAACGGTCAGGCATTTCCAGGTCTGATTCACTGAACAAATTCACTGGATTTTCCACCTTATAAGATGGAACTGAAAAACATATTTCACAACAGGAATCTAAAAAGTGAAAAAGGAATGACAGTATACGACTCGAGAAAAATTGGCATATATACAGTGATTTGTTTCTTTAGGAATAGCACATAACAGTGGAAAGACGAAAAAAAATAGCTGAATGGCAAATTACTCATGAAAATTTTAGACACTGAACATTCAACAACAAAAAATTTAAAGCACGAAAAAAATATATCGAACACAGCGATATGGATTTCACCAGATGGACACACTAAAAATCAGATCGACTTCATCTTAGTGTGAAGAAAGTGGAGATGCAGTCAGCCTACTGGACACAAGATCCGATCAAGAAGGGGAGCAGATGTAGGTTCAGACCACTCACTATGTAGTGCAAGGAACCTTCAAAATCAAGCTGAAGGCCTTCAAAGGAGCTGGTGATGATAGACGACAGTTCAAGTTGAACACCCAGAACAGAAAGTGAACTGAAGGACGAAGCTACAAAGGAGTTCTTCACGTCAGTCATCAGGAAAAAATGGGAGACATTAAGCAACATCCCTGAAGAAACCTGCATGGGAGAACACTGGAACTGTTTGAAAGAGATGTGGAAAGAAACCTGCATAACCGTATTGGGAAGGAAGAAGAATCAAGACAACAAATGGATCTCCACGGATACAAGGAAGCTGATAGAGCAAGGAGAGGAAGATGGTGAAGCAGAAGATGAACCAGTGCAGTGCAGGGATGAACAACGAAAAGAGGAACTGAACACAACCTATGAAACACTACACTGGAAAAAGAAGTGAAGAAGAGTGCACGGAAAGACAAAAGACACTTTTACGACACACTGGCAAGTTAAGCAGATTAAGCTGCAGGTAGGAGGGACAGAGACCTGACAACACTATATCAAATAACTAGGTTACTATCTGGGAAGAGATCAATGCAGATGAAACCAATGAAAGATAGTGAAGGAAACTTAGTTAACATCAAGGAGGAGAAACAAAGGAAACGATGGGCTGACCACTTCGAAAAACTCTTGAATCGACTTCCACCACCATCACCACCACCTACAACTCGTCCAGAAATATTACCAGCAGCCACAGAATTGCCAGTGAACACAAGCCCTCCGACAAAAGTCGAAGTCGTGAACGCCATAAAGTTGCTGAAATCTGGGAAAGCAGCAGGAGCAGATGGAATCCCACCAGAAGCACTCAGAGCAGACGCAGAGACAACAACGGACATGCTCACACCACTATTGCAGAAGATCTGGAAGGAAGGGAAGGTACCTGGCGATTGGAAGATGGGTTACCTTGTCAAACTCGCGAAGAAGGGCGACCTAAGTCCTTGCAAGAACTGGTGCGGAATCACGCTCCTGTCCACCCAAAACAAGCAAAATATTAAGCCGCTCATCCCGGAGAGATTAAAAGAGGCGCTGGCTTCAGGAAGCACAAATCATGTGCGGACCAAATAGCAACACTACGCATCATCATAGAACAGAGTATAGAATGTCAGTCAACCCCCTACCTCAACTTCATTGACTTTGAAAAAGCCTTCGATAACGTCGATCGAGAATTGATTTGGAAACTGCCTCAACACTGCGGAATACCACAAACCTTTATCAACCTCATTCAATAGCTGTATGACGATGCTGCATGGCAGGTGATTCACAATGGAAAGCTCAGTGACGCCTTTGAAGTGAAGACAGGAGTGAGACGAGGCTGCCGCCTACTATCACCGATGATCTTCCTGATTGTGATCGACTTGACTTGACTTGACTGGACTGGACTGGACTGAATCATACAGCAAACTGTGAGGAGCTATGAGAAGATGGGCATACGCTGGACTGGTGAAAAGACTCTAGAAGATTTGGATTTCACCGATGATTTATGTCTAATGTCGCACAAACTCGAGGATCTACATGCAGAAACCAACAAGTTGACAGAAGAGGCAGTGAAGACGGGACTTCAAGTGAACGTAGAGAAGACAGAGGTGATGAAGGTACCCAACCAACAACCACAAGCACCAATCACCATCAACAGGAGAAACCTAAAGAAAGTAGCCTCTTTCACCTACCTAGGCAGCACTGTTTCAACTACAGGCGGCACAGATGAAGGCGTCCAAGCCAGGATTGGAAAAACAAGACAGGCCTTCCTTCATTAATCTGAAACCAGTGTGGAGATCTTCTGCACTCAGCATAAGGCGTGAACAAGATCCGGATTTTCAACACCAAATTTAATCAAATCAGTGCTTCAATATGGTTTAAAAACTTGGCGCGTTACGAAAGGGATTTCCAACAAACAACAGGCATTCATCAAAAGCTGCGGCCTACGCCCACTCGATAGTGAAGATCAGATGGCCGGAAAGAATAGGGAACAAGGGACTCTGGCTGGCTGGCAACGAAGCAACTGAGAAGCTACCGCCCAACAAATATGCAGAAGGAAGTGGAGATTGATTGAGCGTACATTGAGAAGGCCGATTGGGGACATCGCGCGCCAGGTCCTCAAGGTGAACGCAGATGGGAAGCGAGGAGTTGGACGTCCGAGGATGACATGGAGGTGATCGTGTGAGGAAGAAACGAGAGCTTGTGGTCAGTCGTGACGACAGGTTGAAAAGATTATAGAGAACAGTGTGCAATGGAGACGTGCTGCTGAAGCCCTATGTTCGATCAGGAACCCAATAATAACGAAAAACATCAAGCAACTATCGTAAGCCAAATATTTTAATCCAGTCGGTAAGCCAGTCGACTTCATAGTACAATACATATACAGGTACAGTTGAGGAGAATCGGAGGATATTCCTGGCTCCTGATTTCGCATCTTCCGCTACTTACCAGCAAAGAACATCTGTAACCTTGAAGAAACTCCTGCTGTCTTAAATCCACATCGAAATTGCTAAGGATCATAATTTAAAATATTAATATTGAGCTCTTCGTAAAGAAAAGAATGGGGCATATTATCCGTTTGGTTATTCGGAATACCTGTTAGCCATAGATACAACTAGTATCCTACCACTGACTGGAAATATGATGAGGGAATATATTGAAAAATGAAAGACATACACATAATACAATAGTGATAGACATTTTTTGACATAAAGTAATGTGATTGTCCCGAACGAATACCTTTAAGAATCTACAGTAGGAATATATCGATACTACGGCTTCAAACCAAGACAAGTCCATATTTATACTATACAAATATGAGATAAATTAAAGAACATGAAGTTCCAAGCAATTAGCTTTTAGAATGAATACAATGAGTAAACAAAATAGCTAACCTGAGGTGATTTTGGGGGGAGAGAGAAAATGAGCCACTCGGAAGTTCAGACTTTGAACTGTATGAACAGTGGCCATCACTGCTTGACTGTCACTGCAGCTGGGCTGTACGTTTAGGCCTGGTAAAATATTATGGTTAATAAGTGTGACCAGAGGATGGGTCAAAAACTTTTTCTTAACTGCCTCCACATCCCATTTGTTATTGTGTAGCAACAAACGTGCTATTGCTGGTGGTACCTAGAAGCAGCAAGCATAATTATCAGTTTTAAAAAACGTATTGGAAAAATAATATTGCTGAGTCTTATACATTTAGTTCCTTTCATGAAGTTGAACTAGATTTTAATTAGCAGCGAACAGTCCTTGGTGGATTGAGTGACATGCTTACTGAAGATCACAAAAACAATCAATAATTAAGTGCTATCTAAACAGACTAATAACCTTCTATGAATTAAGTTTTCTAATGACTACTACACTGATGAGATGGTTAAGTTTGCTCATTAAAATGTCATAGTTCAAGCAAACTCTCTGTAACACCTGTTTTTTAGGAACTAAACTACTTTTCTGGACAAAGTTTCTTTTGAGTCCTCATAACTTTAACGTCAATCATACAAACTAGTCTGATGAGATTATCTCCATTTTTATTATCCCAGTTAGTCTGACTAATAACGGCTAACTCCAAGAAAACTTACTACATTACAAGTAGTACTATTTTATTACTATATTGTTTTGTTTAGTTTTCTGCCTACAAACAGATTTATTCACTTGGACTATTGGTATAAAAAATCTGCTTGCTAGACCTCAGGTTACTTTATGTTATTTCATCGATTATCTCATCAATTTTGTACCATATGACTTTAACCTGCTGATGTTACCCTTAACTGGTAGTAAATCGATTAGTCCATATTTCCTGTCTTGGCTTTAACTAAATCGTGGGTAGCTAGGAGAGCTAACTAGTTAGCACACTCAAAGATAGTGTTACATCAGTGTTATTCTAACATATATCACAGGTTTCTAAGCATTAACCTTCAGCGCTTATTAGTATGTTGTGCTTTAATTCGGCAGTCAGGAACTTCATCGATTGGTGCTACGTTTTGGTCAGGCCGTCCTGAACCCTATTTCGACCTAATCCAACTTCCCCTAGCATACCACGTCAAGATAGGTGGTGGCTCGGCATGTGCAACATATGTCCAAGACATCTCAGCTGATGAAGGTTCACAACCTCATCAATCGACTTGTCCGCCTTGCCCAGTACACTTCGCCTGACCTCAATATTGCTCACAGTGATTCCACTGAAAGCGACCACTGCAACGAAGATATTTATGATCAAAATCCTGCAGCCGCTCCATATCTACTTTCGACAGAATTATCTCACACACGTACAACAGGACAGAACGAACTGCAGCGCAGTATACTCGTTTTTTTGATTGATAGTCGAACATCTCCCTTGTCGACGCCACAGATGACGCAAGTTGCTAAATCCCAAAAGGCCTATGGTATCCGGACGTAGATTTCGTCAGGAACCAACCCGTTTGGGCTAACGCAACTCTCCAAGTAAGCGAAGTGATTGACGCAAGCCATGCTTTCCACGCGATTTGGCACAGAGTTAGAAAGTCGAAAGCCCCAATGTGAAATCCATGGCGGGGTTTTAGGAGACTACAAATGAGGTTTCGATGTCTTTGATCGTTTGCAATGGTCGCAGAGTGAGAGGTTGAAGAAGGTTCAAAAGCTTAATATTAGTATCAGGAGGTGGAAACAAAGGAAGAGACAGAGTTGAGGAGGATGGGTCATGTTTAATTGGGTCTGGTCTACTACTGCTAACGTGCGGGCGGTTTGAACTTCCCCTGCTGCAACATCATGGGAGGTTAGCACTTCTTGAGGCGCCTGAAAAAGAAGAGATAGTATGACTCGGAGCCCAAGGAACATCTGATTGAAGTTGGTCGCACACGGCCTTTATGCAAGTCTGAGATTTTGGTGTTTTGCTTTCGAATCCGACTATGAATCCCTGTCGCAGGCATCAGCAATACCACTGGGTGGGGGGAGTGTGCTATTTCAGAGGTCGACCTTTTCCTAACCTCACCCCTTCCCATAGGGAAGGTGGCATCAGCGTGACACTGTCAGTCATTCAAGGGAAACATTACTGCTGTCACACCCCGTCCAGTAACACCCCTCTCAGACCCCCATCATAGCGTATCGATTTACACTATAATGGTAACTGTTTTTTGTCTAACCAATATCCAACAGACCTTTTCAGTATGGTAGGACCTAGAGGGAACAAGCGTCCCACCAGCATAACCCGTTGGGCTACTATGGTATAAGAGCCCAACCACCACGTCAAGGTAGCAGCTAACGATCGGGATACTTTCTTATAGCGGTAGGTTTACAGTACGACTCAGCTGAATAAATTGACAGAGTAGTAAGTTTTAATTAACTGATTCGCAACACAATCTGTCACTTCAGAATCCATTTCTACAGCTTAATACATGGAATAACAGTAGTCAGTGCTCTATAAACAATGGTATCAGTTTACTCTAATCGACTAAAAGGCTTGGAACGACCACTGAGTGTGAATGTGCAGCAACCAGATACATTTGAGTAACGCTGCTTTTGATTTATTCATGACGAATGGCACAACCCCTGTGAACAGAGTACTGAAGAATATAAAAAGAAATAGTATGATTCAAAAAAACCATAGATGGGTTTGAATATTTGACTATAAACCTCATTTGTTGTGACAGAAAATAATATTGCCTGACTGCTAAAACCTGGATAGGTGGAGCGGGCTCTAAGACCATGATCCACTGCTTGAAAGTCACACATAAAATCAACGTAAAACCCCACATAGAAGTGCATTGATTCAAGTTGCCATGCTTCACAGTAGCATCCAAAGTACAAACGGAGAGGAAAAGACTGAAACCAAAGTAGACAAAATGTATAGGAGGAAAAACAACCAGAAGATGAGTCATTGAAAATAGTTAAACTTTAGAGTGAATACATCTGTATTATTGTGACCGACCTTTAGAATATGGCACTAAACGTCTCCAACCATTAGTTTGTACCGTCTTGAGGACCCGAGCCAGACAGTCCACACTTGCATATACAGCTCAGACTAACAGTCAGAGACTGTATGGATTGGTACTGCCTTTCGGTCTGGCCATCCTGAGCCCTCTTCCAATCTAATTCAAATTCGATTAACATTGTACGTTAAGGTAGATAGTGTTTTGGCGCATGCAACACATAAGTACGCCATCTCCGTACGTGGAGGTTCATAACTTCGTTTACTGACTCGCCTAGTACTCTTCATCCAACCTTGCCAGCCTTTAAACGCTGATTTCGCCACATGCGTGCACTCCTATAAAGACAGGCGTGGTCAAAAACATGCATCCGTTCCACACCTACTTTTAACGCCTATGTCTCATATCCATATAATAGACGAGACAAACTGCAGCGCAGTATACTCGTCCTTTAATAGGTAGTGGGATATCTCGCCATTCGTTGCCACAGATGACACAAGTTGGTAGGTACCAAATGAACCTTTTGTATCCGATTTCGACAGCAACCAGCCTATGTGCGCTGAAAGTGGAGTGAAAAGTGGAGTGAAAAATGCATTCCACCACACCACTCCCTTATCCATGAACTGGGAATAGTTGCAGACCGATCCTCGAGCATCATCTGACAGGTGCGAAAGCCATGCCAAACACACTCAGATTTCTGCTCAGGGTGTTCAGAAGATGCTGCGCTGCTGTGGGTCAGTTGAACCGTACTTTAAAGCGTTTTAGCCAACTGTGATGATAGTTTATCAGCGTCTGATCCTTTCTGGTGATGGGTTTACTAATCATTGTCTTATTCGTGCCGGTGCCCTTATTAAGCCTAAATAGGTGCTAGGTATTACCTAACGCTGATGCCTTCTACATTTTTCTTGCTTTCGCCACATACCGCTGCTCGCGATCATTACAAAGACTCTAGGTCAGTCCACATTGAAATCACTCTCGCTCTTAAACGTCGTTAAAGCCAGCTGAAATGAGTCTTATCCCATCAAATATGTTTAGATACTATTCACTCCAACATGCACTCACTTAGGGTAGAATTAAAATGGAACAAGTCAAGATCTTGTTAGACTAAAATATGAAATCAATGAATGAGTTCCCTGGCTACGGAACCTAATCCATATGAAAAACCGTAGAACTACAGATTGAGTTCCAAGATGCAACCTAAATATATGGTCAGAAAGTATGACTTTGAATCTACTGCACTGGTGTAAAATCACTCGTAACCTATTTTCGTTTGAATTATTTATTTTTCAATTCAGTGTGTTTATTAGGAATTTCACACAATGAAAGTGTCATTTACTGGATAACGTTTGGGACATAATTTATTGTCTATATTCAGATCATTATATGAATATGAACAATAAATTATGTAAAAAACGTTATACGGTAAATGACACTTTTATTGTGACATTTCTGATAAACAGACTAAAACGGAATTACAAGCTACCACAGAGCACAAGTTTTACTTATATGTTTCTTATCTTGTTACTTAATCTGTCTATTTATGCCAGTTTATTTGCTATAATGCCAAAACTATTTTTATCCCTCAGGATCTATTAATAATGAATGTTCCTCCAACAGTTGATGTAAAGTGTACCTATTTAAAACAATGCATATTTGTCTTTTAAAAGTTGTTTGCACATGATTGGTAGCTGACACACAAGATACTCATACATTTAACACAAAAACCTGTAGTGGTTATGTTTATTCTAGTGACAGAACAGTCATAACATGATGTCCTAAACATTTTACTCTTTCCTGGTCAATTACACACTTCAAGAAGATAAAAACGAATTGGTTGAAATGACCCCCATTTGCTTTCATTTGATCTTGTGATCAGTACTATCAACTTTCAGGGCATAAGACAGCACAGTCAAATCATTAGTGCATAAAATAGACTGGTAAACCTGAAATGCTTTGTCCAACATCTTTGAAGATTAGAAATGTAAGTCAATATTATGATCCGTGATATATGTAACGATACAATGCTCCGAGACGATACGATTAACGATAGAACAATGACTTCTCAACTCGATATTCAGCCAACCCCAGAAGAATACGATGGGAATGAAAGTTAATTTACTCCAACTGAATAATAATAATAATAATAATAATAGCTGAAAACTCAGTCGTTTATATATCCTTAGATGGCGCTGGTCAGAGAAAATAAAATAGCATATTAAAAGTGTA